ACGTTGGTCATCAAATCCTGGAGGAAATGGCTGGGCTCTTCCCTTATGGATAGTAACAAGCCAGGCTTAGAGATGATTCAAGTGCACAGCAAGTGAAAGATGCTCTTCTAACACTGCTGTGCCATTGCTTTTGAGACAGATAATTTAATTATTTTGCCTACTTTTATGTTGGTTTGGATGTCATTGATGAAATCTGACTGTCACTTCTTTTTGGCTGTACTGTGAGTGCCCACTTTCCCCCCTAACAGCTGGCTCATGACCATTTCCCACATCTAATCCTTTAGGATTTCACCTTTGGCAACAAGCAAAGGCTCCAGCCTCTAAATGGAGGTGGCAGGGGCCATTTTCTTTACCAAACATGTGCACAGACTTGCTTGCCTGCAAGAGAAGCATAACTCCATTCCTGCATGAGTACTAAACAAGACTTGCCTATTTTCTTGCCCATAAGGCTCTCAGGAACCAGGGAATCAGAGCAAATGGAGCTGGAAGAGATGCTGAGAGCTCACTGACTCATTCCCTTTCCCCAAAGGGATCAATTCTGCCTAACCCAGCCCTGCCTGCTCTGTCTTTAGCACGTGCTTAACAAACTCCAGCACTGCAGATGCCACAGCTCCCCTGTGCAGTCCAAGTGCTTCACCAGATGCTTGCCATGGTGTTTTCATCAGTATTTCCAAGGAGAGACAGCTTTGCCTGTCTAGGCAGAGAATTTTTGGGAGGCCTTATCCTGCAAGATTCTCCACCCTTGTTTCTGTCCACTCCCAAACTCTGTTCCCCTTCTTGCCTTCCCAGCTCCTCTCTTTTCCTCCCTGCATCCAGAACTCAAGTATGGAACTACCAAGTGAAAATTTCTAAGAGGGATTGTGCATCCCTCCCAAATGTGCCATCCTCTGTCTCCCACTGTTTAACGTTCCCACAGGGAGTGTTTCCACCCAAACAGCTGGCTTGGTGAAGAGGAAAGCCACGTACAGGTTTGAAGCAAAAGAAGGGCATTGTGTTGTCTTTGTCTGAACTCACCGTTTTCCTCCTTAGCTTCTCTAAGGAGAAGGATTCAACTGGACTGGTCATGAGAAAGACTGGGACTGGAGTCACAGCAGAGACCTGGACCCTTCCACATTCCCTGTGCTCTCTGTAATTCAGATTAGCAGGGATTTGGAGGGGTGACAGAGCCTCTGCAATCCCTAGAGAAAAACACCATGGCAATGGTGCCATGGGAACGGCTGGATGATGTTTGCACCACAGTTTCCACCCTGCCTTGCTGGGCTAATGCAGTGTTTAGCCTCATTAGTGCTAATTACAGACGAGGAAAAGACATTTGTGAAACGTGAATAAAAATAAATGAGATTCTGTGATTCTGCTCAGGCCTGGCAGGCTGCAGAGAGGAGGAGAAATAGCACCTAAAAATATGAATTTGGGGTGAAAACACAAAGGTGTTTCTCCATTGGCATGAAGATTTTTAACCAGCCTCCTCCTTGAACTAAATTCCTTTGTAAATGACACTTGAACTCACTTGGGAGCTGGCTGTGAGTTGCTGGCCATAACAGAACAGCCTGCACCACAAAATGCATGAACCACTTGGCTCATGCACACATTGGAGATACCCAGAACTACCCCAGATAACCTGAGAGGAAGGGGAGCAGGTGGCCTCCTGGAGAGGAGCTGAAGCCCAGACCAACCACACCCCCCATTTCTCTTTCCATACTGATGCTCCCATGGGTTCTGCTCACCCTGCCTTATTGCTGTGCTCCTCCTCCTCCCCTCAAAGCCAAAAATCCAGGGTGGAATTTTTCTCCTGCCCTTAAAACACACTCCAAGGTGTCATAAAGGACTCTGCTTGCAATACCAGAGGGGAAAATCCCTACAGAACGCTAAGTGTGGTTATGCTCCCTCAGGTTATTTAAATGACCACAGCAGAGATTTATTAGCTGGTTTTTAGCCTTTCTCAAAGCCTTAAAAATAATTCTTGAAACGCAGTGAGGAGCATTTACAAGACCCCAATGGCAGAACAAGATGCCTGCTTTCAAAAGGTGAAGCTCTGGGGGCTGTATGAACAACTTTAGGCTTAGAGGACAACTCTTTAGAGGTAGAATTCAGCTCTTTTGTCCCCCTGTTTGCACCAGAAGCAGTACAGGTTTGGCTGCACCTGGTTCTGCAGTTCTTTTCCATCACCCAAAACCTGTTGCAAAGCTATTTTTGATCCAGGAACATTTATTCTGGCCAACACTGATATCAAGGCGCTTAGAGACTGACTTCAAATGCAGCACCATCATTTCAGATGGTGTACAAACTCACCATAAGTGACATAAGGTCCTTTTCTTCAGAGCTTGTAATGATCAAATTACAGAGTAATTTAAACCACAAGGGATGAGACCAGATTTCTCAGGGCTCTGCTCAGGCAACTTTTATTCCCAATATTCCCAAGGATGGAAACCCTGCCACCTCTCTGGGTTCCTGTTCCAGTTTTTGACCACCCTCATGGTGGAAATGTTTTTTCCAAATAAATGTTAGATTATAATAAGAGGCAGAATTGTTGGTAAATTAATTGCTCAGGCTTGGGGATTCCCAAGCAACAAGTCATTGTGGGAGGCTGAAAACGTTGTCTCAAAGCCCAGGAATCACAGAAAGCCCCTTCTCATAGGTGGGAGCTGGGATGGCCAAAGCAGGAGGACAAACTCTGGAAGTGACAGATGAAGGGATACTCAAAAGACAAGAGGATAAAAGTGCCACCACTTTCAGGACACTCAGCTCCTTCTAGCAGGAGGGGTGAAACTCACAAAATTCCAGGTTCCACCTGAGCTCTGCTTTCCTGCCCATGATGGCAGGAGCATTTCAAGCCTGCTTTGGTAATGAAATTAGATACAATTATTAGAGACCCAGACAAGGTAATTATTTCTATTATTATTGCTATTATTTCTGGAGAACCTCATGAGGACCATTGCAGGCCATGTCCTCCACAAATGCAGGCCTGAGAGCTATCCCCGCCCTGAGGCATGAGAGGAAAGAGCCCACTCCTGCAAAACACATCAGCATGTATTTAAATGCATTTGTGGGACTAGGAGGTCATCACTAATCATGAAAATGTTGATGCTGAAAGGTTTTGCAGCACAAGGTTGGGTTGTGTGGTGGCTCAGTGGCCACCAAAGTGAGATGAGCAGATGAAAACCAGGATGGGGAGACAGGGGGGTAGAAAGGTCACTTAACCATTTCCAAATGCCTTTGCTCCTTGTGGAAGTGCAATATCTTGATTCACTTCAGCTGTTCTTTGTAAACTGATCAGAAGAGATCCTTGGATCACTTGCAATCTTATGGGCTTGGATGGAGAGGGTGCAATCAGGAGGAGCTCAGGAATATTGCAAGGGAGCTTTGAAACCAATCAACAACTCAAGGTAACATTGAAGCTGTGACTATGTCACGGGTGGTGTTTTGTTTTGCCTTTTTTTTTTTCTCCCTATGTATAAAGTTTGAAGCTTCCCAGGTTGTCTGGGAAAGTCTCATGGAAACAGACACTTCTTTGGAAGGGGGAGAGGGAAACCAACCAACTGAACAAGCTGTAATTATTTAAAGATGTAAAAAAATATCTATTATGAAGTAGTATGGCTACCAATCCACGTAACTTCTACACCTTTAGAACTAATGGAAATAAAACGATGATAATAAAACCAGAGGGTTTCTGCTTGACTCTGTCTGCCCTCATGGGCTTCTTGGAGAGGGGTAGGGGTAAATGATAAGATACTAAGTGCACCTGGAGGAGAAATGGTGCAGTGGGTCATGTCCGAGGGAGCTCATAATGTTGCAATTACAGAGTGATTTTAAGTCAGAAGGGGAAAAGATCAGGTTTTTCAAAGCCCTGTTCAGTCAAGTTTTGAATATTCCCAAAGATGGAAATCCTACCACCTCTCTGGGTTCCTGTTCCAGTGTCTGATCAACTCTCATGGAGGAAATGTTTTTCCAAACCACAGAATCATAGAAGCATAGAATGTTAAGGGATTGGAAGGAACCTTAAAGACCATCCAGTTCCAAGCCCCTGCCGTGGGCAGAGACACCTTCCACTATCCCAGGTTGTTCCAAGCCCTGTCCAGGCTGGCCTTGAACAATTCCAGGGATGGGGCAGCCACAGCTTCTCTGGGCAATCTGTGCTAGGGCCTCACCATCCTCTCAGTAAAGAATTTATTCCTAATACCTGTTCCCCCTTTAAATGTGCAGCCACAAAAATGTTTGATTATAATGAGAGCTAAAATCCTCAGTAAATTAATTGCTCAGGCAAGCAATGAGTCATTGCAGGAGACTGAATGTTGTCTCCAAGCCCTGGAGTCACACAGAGCCCCTTCTGTGGAAGTTGGGATGGCCAATGCAGGGTGACAAACTCCAGAAGTGACAGACCCAGCAACAGAGCAACTCACATCCAGGATAGACCAGAAATGTCCTGGGCTGCAACTGCCCCATCCTGGAAGTGTTCAAGACCAGGTCAGACTGGGCTTGGAGCAACCTGGGATGTTGGAAGGTGTCCCTGCCCATGGCAGGGGGTTGGAATGAGATGACCTTTCAGGTCCCTTCCAACCCAAATCATTCTGTGACTGTGATTTTAATGCAAATGAGGAAAAGCACCCAGTGTGTTTTCCATGCAACTGGGAACACCCCTAACAACACAGAGGGGAAAAGCCCCTCAAGGCACTCTTAATAACACTGTGATTTATCGTTTTGGTCTTCTCACTAACATTTTTTTTCAATTAGTAAGCTGTTGTTCGGCCTAAATCCTTTCACCTGATCTCAGAGGCAACACCCTCAAGCCAAAATCACGTTTCATAAGCGCTGTGCTCAGCCACCCCCGCCCTCCGCAGGAGCACAGCCTCCCGCACAGGCACCCACCCTCCTTCCCAGGCTGCCCAGCTTCCCTCCCAGTCCCACCGGATCCTCGAGACCGATAAAACTGGGGGGTGAGCGACGTCAGCACCTAAACCTCACCTATTCCTCCCCTACCAGCCAACTGGGGAGCTCTCCTGATATTTAGGGGGAGTCCTCCTCCCCATAAAACTAGGTGGGTGGAAGGGGTTGGGTTGCAGAAGGGTTTGTTGAGGGTAGGTAGAGGAGAGAGCGAGAATGCTGTGGGAGGGGTTGGGGCAGAGGAAGAGGAACTGGAGGCAGAGGAAGGATTATGAGCCTGGAGGAGCAGGAGGGACGGGGGGAGGCTGCTCACCCTCCTCCCCAAATGGAGGCACAGGGTTGCCCTGGGGAGAGCCGCGTCTTAAAAGCTGGACGTTGTAATGTGGGGCTCTTGGGGAGTGCAGTGGGTGCCTCCACTGCCCTGGGGAGGTGTGGGTGAGAATGGGGATGGAATTCAGGGCTTGGTTGTTTTGGAGAGCTGCAAATTGGTGCTTGGCTGAGCGTGAGAAGACGGGAAGTTCTGCACCCCTCGGATTGCACGTGGAGAGTCAGAGCTGTGCCTTGAAATCCCTGCAAGAGCTTTGTACAGGGGTGTAAGGTCACAGTGGGATTTCCTGCCATCCCTGGGTGCAGGTGAGCTGCCAGAGCTGGTTGGGGAGGAGGAGGAACCTGGAGGAACCTGGGCAGCCTTGACCTTGCTCTGTTCTGCTGTGGGTTCTTGGCTTCTGTCTGAGCACAAGGACTGGAAATGAGCACATACAGTGGGAGGATTTCTCCTGGAAGCCTGGCTCCCTGCCTCAGACCTGTAGAGGTACCAGTTCAGGTGATCATGATCCTGGGGAGATGGGTGTCATGCCCCGCAGAGGGCTGGGGGTGGTCACCCTCCTCTTCCTCCTTGGAGTGGGGAGCATTTTGGAAGAGGCTGAAGTAGATCTAGAGGAAGCAGGTGAAGTAGGGAGATCTGTGGAGAGAAGGGGATCAGAGACAGCAGATGCTGGTTCTTCTGAGGTCCTGGGGAACAGGCAGTCTCTCCTCTTGAAAAGGAGCATTTCTCTGCTGTCAGAAGGGCTACAACTGGCGGAGTGTGGGCATTAACACATTACAGAGTGCCCAGCACTTCCAGTCTCTCACAATGAGCCTGTTAAGAACTGAATCAGCAGCTGCCTGACATGAAGCCAGTGCTGGATAATCAGGGATGACCTGTGTCCAACAGCCAAATGCTGCTCCAGGGATCCAAACTCCTTCTGGTGCCTTTGGCAGCACAAGTGTCTCTTCAGCTGTCTCTTAATCTGCCTCTTGATCATCACAATATGCAGATTTTTGGGGGTGAAACCAGAGCAGGCCTGTGAACAATTATCCCATGTCCTTGGAGAGAGAGGACTAAAGCTCAGTCTTTTACCCTGGTAAAGCTGGATTGTGTGACCACTTAATATCTACCTGGATCTAAGACATTAAATTAATGTTCCCTGACGTGTTTTCCTTTCAAGCCCTTCCCAGAGGGATTTGGTTTGTGCTGCAGCACAGGAAGGCTTTTACAGGCCTTGCCTGCTCCTGTTGAAGGTACTCCCACACCTTGCTGCTCCTCACAGCCGTGCTAGATATTGTCCCTTCACTATGGCAGGAGCACATGGCACTGGAAGCTTTGGTTTTAGTCAGTCTGAGCTGCTGCAACCATGGGCTGTTGTCTCTGAGCTAACCCAAGCAGCAGAAGAAGCTGAGATCCTGGAATGAGGTGGGAATGGCTCTTCTGGTGGGGAACCATGTGCAGGATTGCTGTTGATTTTTCACATTGAGCTGTTTCAGAACTGCACCTCAGAGCCTTCTACTGAGCCTCTGGTCAGTGCTGGTCTCTGGGAGAACTGGCACCATGGGCTGAAAGCCAGACTGAACTTTCCTGATCCTGGAGCCTGCTTTCCTGTACACCCAGTCCTGGCAGAAATCCTCACAAGTGACTGGGATTTCATGCCAGAAATAACTCCTTATATACTGATGTGACTTCCTGGAGGGAGCCACAGGATGCTGTAGGATGGTGCTGCTTCATCTCCCCCTCATCCAGAGTCTTCTTTTCCCAGATGCTGTTAGTAGAGTGTAGGAATGCTCCCTAACTGGTTCTGTGTCACTGCAGTCAGTGGGAAAAGCAAGGGGTGGAGATGTGCTAATTCCAGAGCAGGACTTTCCAATGACATGACATATCAGGAAAAAGATGGGTCATTGGCCTGTGCTGATTCTGGGTCATTAATCATAAAATCACAGAATGATTTGGCTTGAAGGGACCCTAAAGATCATCTAGATCCCACCCCATGCTATGGGCAGGGACAGCTTCCACTAGACCAGGAAAAAGGACTTCTGGAGATGCCCAAGCCAAATTCCCGTTTGTGGGGTGAAAACTGCCATTAAAGCAAGTTGATCAGAACTGTGTTTGATTAAATTACATATATTCCCAGGGATAAAAACCCCTTCACCTCCCAGGTCCTGAAAGAAACTTAAGGAAGAAGATGGGGGTGATGAGACAGTGGTGAACTCTGTCTCTGCCTGGTTTTGTGTATTTCTGAGTGGCAACTTCTCTTCAATTTTAGGGAAGAGTGTGAGAAAAACCTGTTAATCCCTCAACAGCTGCTGGAGATGCCTGAGGGCCCATCAGTGAGGACGTTCCAGATGCTGACCTCCCCTTTTGTGGGACAAGTGGTGGCCAAGGTGGGGGGAAGCAGCCGGAAGATCAGCGTGAATGACCTGAATGCCCTGAGGCTCCAGGACTCCCAGGTGAACTGTGCCAAAGGATGAGCTCACTGATCCATGACGATTCTGAGGGAAACCACCCTTGTCCTGCATCTGGGTCACAGAAGGTGCAGAACCTGGGAGTGTTTCCCTCAGGGTTTCCCCTGGCTAAGCTGAGATGTCTGTGCTGTGGACACACATGTGGGATGGTCACACTGGGTTGGTCCTGCTGGAGGCTTCACTTGCCTGACATCCCCCAGATGATGATTTGGACCTGACTGGCCAAATGCTGGTGCAGCCCCAGCTCGGATTAAAAGTGGGGAGCAAAATGAGAAGCATGAAGTGCCCTCAGCAAAAAGTGGTGAGGTGAATCAGAAACAATGATGACAGAACCTTGAGTGTCTGTCCTGGTGTATCTCTTTGGCCTGACAGAAGCCTCAGGGAGAGGTTTACATTGGAGTGGCATCTGAATACCTTGGGCTTCCTAAAGAATGCTGAGAGGATGCCTGGCAGCCCTGATGGGAATAGCTTGTATGCTGATGAATTCTATGTTCAGGGTGGGGTGATGTGCCCTCTATCTAAAAGAGGCTGCAGAAAATAGTCACTTGTATGGAAACAGCCAGAGAAAGTGTTCCTCTCTATATCCCCAGTGTATCCCTGGAAGTTTTCAAAGTCAGGTTGGATGAGGCCTGAACAACCTGGTCTAGTGGAAGATGTCCCTGCCCATGGCAGGGAGTTGGAATGAGATTATCTTTAAGGTCCCTTCCAACCCAAAGCAGCCTGTGATTCTGTGATCCCATGTGGATCCTTGGTAGCACCCACCTCTTCCCTCAGGTTCATGGGAAGAACTTGTACCTGGCATTTGTGGCAGCTGAAGGTCCCTCAGGACCAACTGCAGAAGAGACGGTGCTGCCGAAAGAGGCTGCTCCTGTCCAGGGAGGGCAAGAACAGGTGTGTGCTCCACATCCCCATCCCCAGGATGAGGAGCTGCAGGAACTCCAGCACTCGAGGTCAGAAGGTCCAGGCAAATGGCTGCGCTTCCACTTTGGTTTGTTCGGCAGCGTCCGGGCAAACGAGTTCTCCAGAGCAAACAGAGCCAATAGAAGGGGGGACTGGAAGGACCCTGTACCCAGGTATTTTGTGGATCTCCCCCTCTCTACCTCTCATGCTGGAGAGGCATTCTTCTATCCAAACTAAATTTTTGTGGGGATGCTCTTAGCCTTGATTTTCCCCTGATAATTCCTGAGATAAGGAGGCACGAGAGATGGTGTGAGTGGGTGTGGGGTGTGTTCAGTCTGCAGTGGAATTGTGGGATGCATGTTGCCTGCCAGCTTGGGGATCATAGTACCAGCTCTGTTAACATTTTTATCTTAGAGAAGTTTTAGGATGCCAGGCTGAATCATGCCCTGGAAATACCAGTTTCTCCCAGTTAAGTGTTGAAAAAAAGCCTTTGACGAATGGCAAACGTCTAGGGCGGCTGGAATCACTGTACTTGTTAGGGACACACTCCATGCACCCCATCCTGGAGTTTTTTTAAGGATTACTTCATTTTTGTGCAAGTATTTTTAGACACAATTTTCTGTGCTACTTTTGTCATTGGTTTCCCTGATCTGTGGACCCTACTGCTGGAGCCTTGGTTATCCAGGGAGCACAGGGCAGGAGAATGAATCCACACAACCTGTGGAGAGTTGTTCACCACCAGGTTTTGTGGCTAAAATCATTGAAGAGGCCACCTTATCTTGAGACAGTGGCCTGGTGCAGAACAGGACAAATGGTTCAGGGATGTTTCTGATGGGAGACTTCTGCTTTTCTGCTTCTCCCAGACTGATTCTCCACTTCGAGAGTGGAGGCTTCCTCACTTTCTACAACTGCAGAATGCACTGGTGCTCCTCTCCAGTGGCTGATCCTGCTTCTGACATCCTTTCCATGGAGTTCCACCGTGGCCGGGCACTGGACGCCCTCTGTGGACCCAATCCCATCTGCTACACCCTCTTAGACCAAAGATACTTTTCAGGGCTGGGTGAGTTCTATTGAATACTTGGCAGAGCAAGAAATGGAGGAAGGTGGGTGGGATGTCTGTGGATTCAGTGCTGCATGTCTGAGAGTTTTACTCCTTCGCCTGGTGGTTCCTGGTTCATCCAGCTGAGGGTACATGGTCATCTTAGAGTTCTGCTTCAAGGGTAGCAGGAAGAGAACCCTGTCCAGTCCAATCCCAGCTCTAAGCCTACTCTTGGCATGCCCCCTCTGATACAGGGAATGACATTGTTGGCTGTGATCCTTGAGGGAGAAATCACAGATTGGAGCCAGAAGTCTGCATTATCTTGATTAGAAAGACCCTTATTGTCCCCTTGTTTGTGTCCCTTTCCAGGGAACATCATTAAGAATGAGATTTTGTACCTGGCCAAGATCCACCCGCTAACACAAGGCTCTCTCTTGGCTCCCTCGGATCTGGAGCGTCTGCTGGACTGTGCCCTTCAGTTCAGCTCTGACTGGCTGCACCACAAGCTCCGTGGCCAAGGGCTGCACCCCCAGATCTACCAGAGGGAGCAGTGTCCCCTCGGCCATCCAGTGATGAAGGGAACTTTTGGACCACTGGGTGGCTTTAAGAGACTTACGTGGTGGTGTCCTCAGTGCCAGCCTGAGGTGCTGCCAGGGGATGGGGATCCTTCCCCAGTCACAGAGTGACCTGGCTTCGCATTCCTCCTTCCCTGGAGGGGTGGTAGGTGATGTCTGAACCATGCTCTTAATTGCCTTGAGAAGGTCTTCATGGTTTCTTTGAGCTGTTGAGTTTGGTTCTTAGTGACAAGGAGCTGGCAGAGTTAAGAGCTCAGTGGAGGTCACAGGACTCGCTGCAGCACTGAGTGGATGCAGAAAGTAAAGTGGTTGTACATGTCTTTTTTTTTTCCCACAATGAACAGTGTAAAAGAGTTGAACCAGTTCTGAGGTATTTTGGTCACTCTGTTCAGACCACAGTGGATGGAAAGTGTAGAGTGTTGAGCAGGTGTTTGCTGTGGTCTGAAGTGACCCTATCCCTTAACCCCGGTGGAGTCAGCAGAACAGAGTATATCCCTCTGCCTAAAAAGCTTGATTAATTCAGAATTAAATAATCCTGCCTCTGTTTGGAGGAATACCTGTGTGCTGAGTGTGGTTAAACGTGAGGAGCTGTTCTCTCTTTCAAATCTAACAGGAACAGCTCCCCTCCTTCCAAGGGGATAAAACCTACGTCAGCAGTGCTTGGTGGAGCTCATCTTGTTCACAGGTTTCAGCTTTGGGGCAAACTGCCAAATCCAGATCTCACTGTAACAGTAAAAAAAGCCCCTAAAAATACTGTATGTGTGACAGAGATTGCATAAAACTTAGGATCTCCAAGGAAACCTGCAAGCAGAAAGGTTTGGAAATAGAGATGAAACCTTCTTTATTGAGCTGTGTCTCTGTAGATGAGGCAGAAGCTGCTGTTCTTCTCTCTCCCTAGATTTCAGTTTAGTTTAAAAAATTGTTTACTTGAGAAAAAAAAAAAATAAAAGCTGGAATTGGAAAACTGGTGACGTTCATCTTAAATTCAGTGCGTCTTTTCTGATAGAGTCTTGGTTAAAAACTGAGGTGTACAGGGAAATTCCAGCTACCTGGAATTGATTAACAGCCACCTGTTTGGTGCTGCCTGTAGAGGATGGTACCGGCAGCTTTCCTCAGAAGTTTGTTTTAATGGGAAATGGATCTAAAGATGGATTGCAAATCAACTGGGAATGCTAGAGATAACCTCCTCTCTCGTAGGCTGCTGCATCCCAGGCAAGGCTTGCGCAGCCTCTCTCCTGGGAACTGCAACACCCTTGAGTGGTTGCAGGTTATAGGGTTGATGAATAAACTAATTAATAGGTTTACAGTGCCAAAGAAGGCGGTTGACGTATCCTGCAAGGTGCCAGTGAAATGCCCTTTCAGTGCCCTTACAAAACAAAGAATCATAGAATCCTATCTTGAGTTGGAAGGGACCCATAAGGTTGATCAAAGTCCAACTCCTGGAAGAAAGTTACACACAATAAAAAACCCCAAAAGCTGAACCTCACACCTAAAGGATGAGGAGGCAGCTGGGATTTGTGGGGTTCTCAGGCCACAGATGCTCTGAGGGCTGGAGCCTCTCTGCTCTGGAGACAGGCTGCGAGAGCTGGGGATGCTCTCCTTGAGAAGGCTCCAGGGAGACCTGAGAGCCCCTTCCAGTGCCTAAAGGGGATCGAGGAGAGCTGGAGAGGGACTTTGCACAAGAGGGAAGGGCTGGAAACTGATCGAGAACAGGACTAGATGGGATATTGGGAAGGAATTCTTGGCTGTGAGGGGGGTGGGATGGAATGCCCGGAGAAGCTGCGGCTACCCCATCCCTGGAAGCGTCCAAGGCCAGGTTGGACGGGGCTTGGAGCAACCTGGGATAGTGGGAGGTGTCAGGGTTGGAACTGGATGAACTTTAAAGTCCCCTGTGCTCCGAACCGCTCCGCGTTTCCATGACGACGCTGCTTCTCCCCCCCCGCCCCGACCCTCCCTCACACTCGGGCTCCGGGGCCGTTCCTTCCCGCCCCGCCTGTGCCCACACGCGCCGCAGCCAATCAGCGCCCGCCACCGGCCGTCACACCAGCCGGGCCGCCTTCCCATTGGCTGGCGCTGCACTGGTGCGAGCGCGTCTCCGCCAATGGGCGCCGCGCCCGCCCCACCGAGCCATGCGAGGGGCGCTGTGATTGGCGGCGGGGCGCGGCGGGGGCGGGGCCGGCCAGGGCCGGTTGAGCGGCGGGCGGGGGGTGGCGGGAGCGGCGGCGGCGGCGGGGACCGAGCGGGGCCCCCATGGAGCTGCTGCGGAAATGGCTCGGCCACCCCGAGGACATCTACAACCTGCTACGCTTCAAGATGGGCGGCTACCGCGCCGTCATGCCGCGGGTCGACCCGGTGAGCGCGGAGGGATGCGCGGGCGGAGGGATGCAGTGAGGGACGGGAGGTGGGGGGGGAACTGTCATCTCCCGGCGGGGATGCGGCGTTGTCATGGGTGACCGCCGCACGGCCCAGAGTCCATAGGACGACCGGCCCCGGTACTACCGGTGGGCAGCACCCGCTTTGTGCGCCTTGTGTGTGGCCTCGGTGCTTCCCGGGCATCCCACCGGCTTCGGGCATCCCGTGCCTTGCTCGGTGCCGGTACCCCGCGAGCATCCCACCGGCTCTGAGCATCCCTCGGGCTCCAAGCATCCATCGCATTGTTCACTGCCGGTACCCTACGTGGATCGCACTGACACTGGGCATCGCAGTGTCCCGGTGCTTCCCGAGCATCCCACCGGCTCCGGGCATTCCACTGCTCCGGGAGTCCCTTGCATTGCTCGGTGCCGGTGCCCTGGGAGCATCACACCTGCCCCGGGCATCCTGTGCGTTGCTCAATCCCACCAGCTCTGGGCATTGCACAGCCCCGGTGCTTCCCGAGCATCCCACCGGCTGCTGGCTTCCCACGCATTGCTCGGTGCCGGTACCCTCCGAGCATCCCACCGGCTCCGAACATTCCACTTGTTTCAGACTTCCCAAGCGTTACTTGGTGCTCGGTACCGGCGCGCATCCCACCGGCTCCGGGCATCCCTTGCATCGCTCGGTGCCGGTACCCTCCGAGCATCCATCCCACCGGCAGCGAGCGATGCTGGGTCCCGGTGCTGCCCGTGCGTGGCATCAACCCCAACGATCGCACAGTCCCGGTACCCCGCGAGCATCCCACTGGGCTCCCAGCGATGCTCTGCCCCGGTGCTGCCCGTACATGGCAGCGGCTCCGGCCACGGGACGGGGCGGGTTAAGGGGCGTGTTTGGGGCCGGGGGCGGAGCGGCCGCAGCCCCCCGCCGCCACCGCCGCGCCCCCATGGCGGCCGGGTCCCGGGCCGTGTCGCTGCTCCGGCGGACACTGACCCTGTCCCCGCCGCGGAACCCCCCGCGGGCTCCGGGCCGGCAGCGGGGGCAGCAGCGGCAGCAGCAGCGCGGGGTCCCCACGGCGCCCCCGGCCCCGCCGCCCGCCGCCCCCCGGCTCCAACCGGCCCCCCGGGCCCCGCTCTGCCCGCAGGACTCGCTGGGATGTGGCCTCCGCACCTGCTACCGGTACCTCAACCAGACCAGCCGCAGCTTCGCCGCCGTCATCCAGGCTCTGGATGGAGAGCTGCGGTAAGAGGAGGGTCGCTGGGGGTCCCGGGGAGGGGGGCTGGGGGTGCAGTGACCTCCCGGCACTGGGGCTCCCTCGGAGGTGGTGGGTGTGATGCCCTCCCAACACTGGGGATCCCCGGGAGGTGATGGGTGTAATTCTCCTCCCCATCACTGAGTCTCCCCAGGAGGTGGTGGGTGTGATGCCTCCCAACACCGGGGATCCCCCGGAGCTGGTGGGTGTGACACCTCCCAGTACCGGGGCTCCCTGGCAGAGCTGGCAGGAGGTGGTCCGTGCAGTGCCTTCATATGCCATTTTTCCTTAGGAGAGCCGCTGGGACATGCTCCCTCTCCCATTGGGAGCTGCCTGGACTCTCTGGGCTCAGCCCCACCCCGTGCAGTGGGACGTGGGGTTTTTCACGTCCGAGCTGGCTGTGCCGCATCCCCCCTCCCCCAGACTGGGTCCCTGGGCTGAGCAAGCCCTGGGACAGACACTGCAGCTTCCTGGCCAGCAGACTGTTAAACACAGGGCCTGGCCGTGTGCCGTGTGTGACACTCTGGGAATGTGTCCCAGCAGTGCCAAGGCTGGCACTGGCCTTCGGGCCAGCCGGAGGGAGGAGGTGAGGAAAAACCTGGGGCTGACCGAGGGTCTGGACCCTGCCTGGGAGGTGCTTTTGGAAGCAACTGCCTCAAAACCTGCACAGTCATTGGAGAGGAGTCGTTGGCACACTCATTTTTTTGCTGTGCAAACTTTGCTGCCCCGTGAGGGAAAGCAGATGGGAATAGTAGGGAAAGCTTCAGATGGGAATAATAACAGAGGATGCAAAGCTCAGCTGGCCCGGAGCCTTATGCATATAAATTTTCTCCATATAATTCCTTATATTCATATGGTAATTACTGATTGCAGTTTGTAAATCCCCAGTTAATCCCAAGGTGGGTTAATCATCAAATTAGGGGGTTCTGTAAGTTGAACCAGACACGTGGCAGCTCTGCCGAGCAGTTGAACCCAAACACTGGGTGATCTGTTGGAATTCTGAGCCCTGGTTTGGCATTTTGGATGGTGCCCCGTAGCTGTGTCCAACAAATACGAAACGGTGTCTGCAACCTGGTTTACAGGAAAGGCAAAGAAATTCAGTGGTTTGGCTGGAATTGTGTGGAAAAGTACGAGTGGGGCCAAGAATTAAACCTTTTTTTTCCATGCTTGTAATATTAGCTAATTCAGAAATTTAAAAAAAAAAAACAAACAATTAATAAAACACCATTAAACCTGTTAGCAGTGTCAGTCTACCCTATGCATGCCTTGATCTTCCTGCGGTTGTCTTCTTTGTGTGTCTTCCTTGTCCTTTAATCCTTACCTTGGGATCAGGAAGGCTTCCTCCCTTCAGGGCACAGAAACTTCAGCCTGGCATCCTAAAAATGCTCTTGCAGGATCTTTGCAACCCACTGCTGTGCAGGGCTGGTGGTTGAATTACAGTGGTGCTGTAGTGGATCAGGAGAAGCTCTAATTTTCAAAGCACAGTAGCTCTGCTGGAGAATTTAGGGACAAAAGAGGGAAATACAAAATAGGGAGGATATAGAAATAGGCAAAA